CACTTGCTGCCTTCCATCCTTTGCACAAGGCAACGTAATACTCCAACCCCATTTTACTATCTAGTTCTTGTTTCTTTCTACCTCTAATATTTCTGTCGCCTCAGATGACTTTCCCTTCTTTCCTTTTTTTACCTAGATAAGCATGACATCTTCCAAATGACATAGTGCATGCCCTGTAAATTCTCAGCACAGTTGCTCACTACCTTTCTGTGCTTCTAACACTTTGTACCTTCTGTCTACCTCCTAGGATTCTATACATGATTATTTGTATGTAAAATCTGTGCCACTTTCCTTACTTCTTTTTATACTTAGTACTTGACATGGTATTTGACACATTAGACATTAAGCTCAATAAATGCTTTTTGAATGAATTGGGCTCTTGTCCCTTCCAAAATACTCTTATATTTTTCTCCAAATCTTACGTTTTTTTTCCCTCTATCATCTATAGCAGTTACTCAGTGAATGATGGTTTCCAGATTTATTCATTAATTGGTATTTATTGGGAGCATACTCAGAGCACTGCCTTAGTCATAGATGCCTGTAGGTCTCCTGTCTTGGTAGAGGACCCTTGCTGAAGGAACACTATACCGCTTAAAAGATGAGTCCCACCTATGAGTGTGATTCCTTGCTGGAGTGTGGTTCCTTGCTTATCACTGTAAGGCTTCACACCCCTTACCTCCCACTGTGAGGAACATCCTGCCAGAGAGAGAATTCCTCCATACTATTCTGAAGCTAAGGGTTCTTTTAATTTGATCTAATTCTACAGATACATGAAATCAGACTCACAGATTGACGCAGAAGAGTCTGACAGCTCTGTATTAAAACAGCATCACTGGACCTTTCAGTATTCCTTGAGTTAAAGAAAGATAGCTTTCTCCCAAAGGTCAAACTTTTAACTTTCCATTCATCTTACATTTTAATGGGGTTTGGTGGGGTTTTTTGTTTTGTTTTGTTTTGTTTTGTTTTGTTGTTTATGGTAGGGAAGTGGAGTTCTGAAAATAAAGCTGACTTCTAACCCCTAGTAAGTGGGAACCCAAAAGAACTGCCAGTGTTTTGGATGGTGGTCTACTCAGATCTTTTCATTCTTTACTTCCTGCATCTGGGCCACCTCAAATTTGTCCATCCAATTAATCTTCTCAAGTGCTTCTATGTTAGCCACTCAGCTGACTTTATCTTTCAACAGTATAGTTCACAATATATTCAAAAGCTATTACTAGACAGTTTTCTTCACTGTTGAGTATCTCCTTTACATACATATTTATTTTCTTTACTCCAGGTGTTAATTTTATACTGGTAACTTGTATGGTATACAGTATTGGATTAGTAATTCTAGTCAGAATATTCTGGTGAATGTATATTTGCTGATGAAAATAGTCTAGTAACTGGCCAATATTTCTAACTAGATTTTTGTTGGAGAGGCGCATGTGTACAGCTCTTTTGGGGGCTACCTCCCTGAGAGGGTGGGAAAAGTGATCAGAGAATCGGAATACATACCTTAGCCTTAGTGACATTTCCCCAATTTTGTATCTTGCTCTACATTCTTTCTCTTTCAAAAACATTTGTAATTTTACTGCTTTAAATCTTTACTTATGTTTGGGGGCACCTGGGTGGCTCAGTCAGATAAGCATCTGACTTCGGCTCAGGTCATGATCTCACTGTGAGTTCGAGCCCCACGTCGGGCTCTGTGCTGACGGCTCGGAGCCTGGGGCCTGCTTCGGATTCTGTGTCTCACTCTCTCTCTGCCCCTCCCCTGCTCACGCTTTGTCTCTCTCTGTCTCAAAAATAAATAAAACATTAAAAAAATAAATAAATAAATCTTTATTTACGTTTGAATTTTACCCTAGGCCTCAGTCCCACTTTCAAATGCCTCCTATACTCTACTCATCCTTCCCCTAAGCAATAAAGGTCTTTCAGATTTATTTTTGTTCCCTTTCCCCTCTGTGCTTTTGCTAAATATAATGCTTTTTCCCCCACGTCTGACTAACATATGCTGCCTTCTCCAAGGAAGCTGTCAAAATCATCCCAGTTGGAGTCAACCATTATAACCTTTCTCATAGCCACATATTGCCATCCTAGTCATGTTGAATTATTTACGTAACTCTGCAGAAGACATTAAATGGGCTTTCAAGTTAGGTGACTTGAATTCAGGTTTCAGCTCCACTACTTACTAAGGGAAACTCCTTGGGCCAGTCACTGAATCTTCATATTTTATCTATCATATGAGGTAATAATAACTAAATCAAAGAGTTGTTAAGAGAATCAGATGAGATAGCAAATATATAAAAAATGATTTGTAAATGACAAAGCTCCTGGTAAATGTTAGATAATCTTAGATGTGAATTAAAAACTTGGGACATATGGGAAGGTATAGATAATGTCTTAATTCCTCAATGCTAACACTGTACTGTGCTCCTATGAGTAGATGCCAAATGAGTCGATTTGATTATGAATTTCTTGCCAGGTACAAAAAGGATAAAATCAACCTGTTTGAAATATACACTTATAAAATATCTGCCTTATGCTTATACAACCTGAGTTCTTTAGAGCATCACTAGATAAATATGGCTTTCTTGAGCTTATGATTAAAGTTATAAAAAACCATGTTTATTCCTACATCTTAAACTTTCAGGTATGGATACTTTTTAATTTAGAAAGTGTGCAAGGATAGAGTGTCATCAGACATTGCTTGTATTTTTAGTATCTGTAATGAAAAACATTGGAGTTAGCCTATTTGTTATAGTAATACTAGAAATAGTTCCAACCAAAGTGATTGTATAGAATTGGAAGGCTGATAAGTTTTCCAGAATTGACTCTGCTTGTGTTCTCATTGTCAAAGTTGGATGTTTTCTTCCTTTAAAAGAGAATCCATTAGTTCCTTCTGTTCAAAACCAATTAGACAAAACACATTAATAAAGTTGTGAGGCTTTATGGAGTTGAAATCCCAATGGCCGTCCTGATTGCAAATTGCAGTGTGGCTATCTGTTGATTTGTTGTTATGTCCTTTGAACAAGGCATTGATGGGACATTTTTTTATTTTTCCTTATGTCAGAATTTGTAAAAATTGTGAACATTCCTGTAACATAGAAGTCTTTTAGAAGTTCCTTTAAAGAATGAGTCTGAGAAATTAATGCAATTGCATATTTTTCCTAATTTTTACTTTAAGTTGTTATGTATTTAAAAAAATTATATGCAAAATAAATATATGGTGAATAATTCTTTTTATAGTTATCTTTTATATAGCTTGCAGTCTAAAATCTAAACTGATATGGAGTACATATCATAATTATGATTGTTTTGCTGTGCATAGTCCTTTGGCCTTTTACTTAGTTTTGTCAAATAGTTGAGTAGCCAACAGGTGATAAATGTCCCATTAATCTTTTTGACTCTCTAGCTCCTGAGCATGAGAATTGCTGATCAATTACAGCAATTGTCTCTTAAATGAGCTTTTCACATCTGCCTCTTATTTCATTAGTTAACTGTCTGCCCAAAGATCTGATAAGATGGAATACCAGTGCCTTTTTACAGCTTTTTCTGTCATGTGTACAATAAGGATAGTCTTGTTAGCAGAGTGGGCACAGAAGGGTATTTATCCACTACCTACAATAAATATACATGCTACAGCCTAGAAGGCATTTGAGACTGTTTATTGAAATCACCTTAAGAAGAAAAAGCTGGCTCCACCTCAACTTTCCATTTAGCAACAACTAATGTAAGACCATGGCATTTCCTACTATATACAATGCTTTTACAGATTACTTTTGTGCTCATATGAAAAGAAAAAACAAACCTATTAATTTTTTTAAAAAGCAAAAATATTTTAAAACCTTTTTTTTTTAATTAAGAAGCATCATGATTACATACTCTCAACCCAAGATGGTTATTAATTCTTAGTTATATCTTCCTCTATTGCTGACACTTTTAAAAAACTACCAATCATGATCTGCTTTCTAATTATATGTTATTCAGCAGTGATCCTTTTGATTGGGAAAAGTCTTGATGAATAATTAGTGTTTAAATTGTTTGTGGGAAGAATATTTTCCTGCCTGTAGAATGAGTATAGTAATAGTATGTAACAGAGTAAAAAATGAGAATTAAAGGGCTCCTGGGTGGCTTGGTCAGTTAAGCGTCCAACTCTTGATTTTGGCTCATGTCCTATCTTAGGTTCCTAGGATCAAGCCCCACAGCAGGCTCCATGCTGAAGGCAAAGAGCCTGTTTGGGATTCTCTCTCTGCCACTCCCCTGACTCATGCTCACATGTGCTCACTCTCTTTCTCTCAATAAGTAAACTTAAAAAACTAAAAAAAAAAAAAAAAATTAAAAAAAGAAATGAGAATTAAATGAGCTATGTATATAAGGCACTTAACACAGTACCCAGCACATAGTAAGTGATCAATGAATAGTAGCCATTACTATGTACAAATTATATAACATTTCATTCTTTTCTCTACTGATGACTGTTCAGAGACTTTGGAAACACAACAGTGGAAGATTTTATAAACATAGCTTAATGTGATACTTGTGTGTGAAGTTCATTTTTTAAAATATTTTAAAAACATTTAACAACTGACAACCGAGGGAGTGTTATTATTTGTAAATTATTTTAATTTTGTGTTTTTAGAAGAAAATTTAGGCGGATCTTCACTGATTATTGTCCTTTGTTCTAGAGACAGTCACATAGCAAATGTCTTTGGAATAAAAGTAGCTCTAACAAGCTCACCAGTTTCAATAACTACCCTGTACCTTGTTTAAATATGAGAAATGCCTTGACCAAATAAATAACCCAAGCATGAAGAAGTCAATTTTTTTAGTATTTTTTATAACTTCTTGAATATCTGAATGTTTTAAAATTGTCATAAAAACTATGTGAATGTTTCCATTTGTTTTATTTTAGGAGTTCTATTTTAAGGAAAGTTTTGATAAGTTAAAATCACGTAATTAATTAACTCGGAATGATGATTTCTACCATGGAGATTCATTGTTTCCACCTTTCTTCATTGCAGGCCTCGTTTGTATGAAGTCCAGCACGTCTGTGGTTGAACTCGTTATGCTGCTTTGTTCTCAGGTAGGAAATCTCATTCACTGGATTGCATTAAACTCCATGAGGATTTTTAGTCATAGAATGCATATGCATATGTTTGTATTTGTTTATATATATTTAAAACTTCCATCTCTTATAGATGATGAAAATAATTTATATTAAGATATTTTTATGTAGATGATCGTACTGTGTGAATATTGATATAGTCTCCCTCTCCCTTCTTCCACACACTTTAGCTATCTTATTCTTTCCCACCATCCCTATCCTTCTATTGTCTCCTATCTGGAAATATATATGTGTGTGTGTGTGTGTGTGTGTGTGTGTGTGTGTGTGTGTGTGTGTGTAATTTGTTATAGATTTTTGATACCCTTCTTTACATGTGTCCATTTAAAAATGGTATAGTAGAATTTATAGTTTTGACATTTATTGTTAAATGATTTCTTCTATTAGATTAGAGATAATGAAAGCAAAGCCTTTTCATACAATAGCGGAGTATAAAATATAGCTTATTAGTGAATGGCCTTTGATACAATACCTTGTGGCTTTCCTTTTTTTTAAGGTAATTTGTATATTTCAGGATACATTCCAAAAATCTACTTGTGCTATTTATCTTTAATAATCAGATTCAAAAATACAATTTATAGTTTTGGGGTTTTCTTTCTTCTTAGCATGTATAAGAAATTAAAATACATGTATTACATTTTTCTAATAACTAAAATTAGGGACCCAGTGGTCTGTCTTATCAGCTCAGTCAAGTCTCCGAGTGATCCTGATTTTCATATAAGTATTAAATATTTTGTATTATGAGAACAAGAAAAACAGCTTATGTGTGTTTGTAATAAGTAGTTATTACATTTATCCCTAGTTTCCTCAATAGAAAGAAAAATACATCTAAACTCTTTCTAGTTACTGACCTTGAGGTCCGTCTGAAGCTGCAGCTAACTCCCAAATAAACAACAATATGGCTTCAATATTTAAAGGATCACCTTTAAAATATTAGCAAAAACAAAACAATCAAGACTTACCTATTGATTTCCAGTCTTTAGGTTTATTTTCTTGAAGAATATATTCATAGGGAAACCATTAGGTCCATTTCTCCCTTTTCAGCCAGGAAGAATATGAAGAATAAAGAAAACAGCATCTCTGGCAGGAGTTCATTTGCAGGGCATTTGAAAATTGTTACCTATTGCCAGAGTCCTGAGTTCAAGAGACATTCGGAGAGATCCGGACCTTTTAGGTTCTTGATGATGCACATGTATTAAAAAAAAAGAAGAAGAAGAAAAAAGCTTTTGTGGGAAAAAAAAGTACCTTAAAATTCCTTCTTCTTTAGCTCTGGGTTTTACTGCAGTTCAGAGAAATAAAGAAGAATGTAGCATTAGGGTCTAGTGTCTTTGATGGCCTCATCATCTAATCATAGGTTTAACATTACTCATTTGCTGGCTCCAGGAATTCCTGCCATTAAGGGCCCTAGAGATGAAACTTTGCCTCAGATATTGATTGAAAGGAAGAGTGAGAAATTTAAGCACTCTGTGCAGTGCACTTTCCTTCAGTGTTTCAGCAAAGCAATATTATAAACATGTCTCTCAGTTTGATTTTTAAGTTGAATTTTTTAAATAATTCAGAGTGTATTTAAATATTTCAAGTGGTTAATTGATTAAATATACTTCATTTAAGTGACTACAAAATGTATGTTTGTAAAAAATAGTTCCCATCATTCTGTTATTTGTTAAACTGAAATGCTGCTTTCCATAAAATATTTTTAAAGAAATAATGAGTAATAATCTTACTTTAATACAGTTGAGGTAGGATGAGTTTATTATAATACTGTGAAATTAGCTTATGAAACCATCTTTATAGATCATTAATTTTTCCATGGATGTGTAAAATCTTAGTTTTAAGGACACTCACAAAAATAGACATGCCTTTAAAATTTCTTTTAATCTGTCATTTTTCTCTACTACTCAAATTCAAGATGATCTATGTCCTGTTTTCATCCATTAGCAGGACAACCATAGCAGTAGCAGACTTCTGATAAAGGAAAATAATTACAGTTAATGATGCTCTGGAGCTTGCTGGGCCTAGCACTCTCCAAAGCTGGGTTCTCTTCTACAGGCCTTAATGCGTCTCTTGGACAATGGAGCTGATCCCTGTAGAATTAGCAAAGTTTGTAGGGCTGTCTTTGTGCCAGGGCAGTCCTGAGGAATCTTTAAAGCTACAGAGTTCTGAGTTGTCTTTTTGTTTTATCTTACAGTCAGCTTTTTATAAATATTTATGGCTCTATGTTGTTATGATTTATTATAAGTTTGATGGTAGTTATGTTATTAAAATTCCAATGCAAATGGAATTTTTCTGTTTATTTATTTGCTTAAAATGTGTTTTTCTTTTTCCAAATTTAGATAAACTATTGAAGGATAAAATTTTGTTTGGAGAGACTAGGTAGCTAAGGATCGAAAAAGGAAAAGAAAAGGCAATCTTTCTCTCAATATTTGTTTTTCTTTTATTTGTGACAACACATTAGTTACTTTAATTTTTATGCTTTTCATTTCGGAAATTTCATGTTAACAACTATTACTAAAGATATCAGTTTTTCTTTTCTTCTTATCTGAGCTCCTGAACAAACTTACTATTGCCACTGGTTTGTGTGCAAAATATGGTCTAAATTTACATGAGATCGTATTACAAGTGTCTGAAGGTACTTGTCAAGGATAATTCAGTTCATATGGACAGCCTTTTAAACTCCAAGGGACATGCCATCCAGTCTACTCCCCAGTGGAATTTTAGGTCTCTGTCGAGAACATATTTTTACTTTTAAGAAGCTATTAGCATTATCATTGTATTGCATTTATTGTTCCACAAATACCCAAATGTTTCTTACAATATTTTGCATAGCTTTCCTTCCCATGCATACCTGATGACACAAGAGTACATTTTAAGAATTAACTCTTTGTTCTTCTTCCCTTTCAATGTGTATTAAAGTTGTGCCTTAGTAGTATCTTTTTAAAAATAATTGGTTTCTTGTCGTTTAGAAGTAAAATGAACTGAAATAAAATAAGTCAAATAATTAATATATTTTGTTTTAACAAAATCACTGCTTAATCAGTTAAATGTAGTGCTTCCTAGTGTTCTTCAGGATATCACAGGTCTGACACTGTCTTCTGTCAACTTTTTTTTTTTTTTTAATGCTTTACAATTACATTTGTTTGAGGTGCTCTATGTCATTCTATATATGTACCTTAATTTTCTATTACATTATTCTGAGTGTATTGTGTTCTTTGATGAATAGCAGATTTAGTTTTCAAGTAAACTTTTTTAGGTACTATAATAGTTTCTAATTATTTCCAGATTTTTTTTTTTTTAGGAAGTCTCCATCAGAGGTACTCCAGGAAAAATTGAGTGATGTTATCCCGTAGGATTTCTTTAAGTTTTTCTAAGTAAAGCTTAGCAGATGTCATTGCATTTTTCTGTGCCTTATCTTTCAATAGAAAACGTTTTATAAATTGAGAAACTTTTATATAAAAAGTAATGTCTCTCAGTATTCAAGTACTTTCTGCCTTGAAGTACTGATTAAGCAAAATGCATGCTTAGTAAATCATTTTTATTCTCATTAGAAATCCCAAAACGTATACGTAACATAAAATAGAAGTCAGCCTTGCAAGTTTCTTTAGAATCTGTGTATGAAGTTACTAACATGAATTATTTTGTGGTTTTGTTTGCCTTTTTTTTCCTAAATATTTCATATAGTTAAATAAAAAGGAAGTTAGTGACTTCACTGATGTGATCAAGGCTCAGACCCAGGACTTCTAAACACAGCACTTAACAAAAGAACCACAACTGAGGAACAGTCTTCCTTTTTCAGATGATTTGGTATTTGAACTTTTAAAATTTTCATTTTTTCTCCAATTTGATACCGTTTATTCAGATGGTACAAAGGAAAAAGACATACTTTTCTTCCAACTATAATAAACCAAAGATAGAAGTAAAAACACAGATGAGATGAATATGGAAAGCTAGTAGTGCATACTCGTTCATGAGTGCCCACTATTGAAAACATTTGGGGTGTGTATAGTAAGATGATAAATGTAAGAAAACTTGGGATGGACTAGATTTTTTTCAGTGTTGTTGTTTTTTTTTTTTTTTTTTTTTTTTTTTTTTTTTTTGTGGGGGGAGCAGCAGAGAGAGGGAGACAGAATCCCAGGCCGGCTCTGCATGCGGTCAGCACAGAGCCCAGCGTGGGGCTGGCTCTCACGAACCATTGACATCATGACCTGAGCCGAAATCAAGAATCAGATGGTTAACAGACTGAGCCACCCAGTCACCCCTGGATTAGATTTTTAAAAAGCATCTTCAGAAATAGGAAATCCTAGTTTTCTGATGAAATTGTGTCTTAGTGACTGCTTTTTTATATTAGCCTTGTGCTGGTTACTGAAGATTTATTGGTAACATCCTTCCATTTCTTAATGTGGTCTGGTGTTATCTGTGAAACTTGCCTGTTATGTAGCTGAGTTTGAACTCAATGATGAGTAAAAAAATTGTAGTATGATATATTTTTTTTAAAATTTTATTTATTTATTTGTATTTTTGAGAGAGAAAGAGTGCAAGCAGGGGAGGGCCAGAGAGAGGGGAGACACAGAATCTGAAGCTCTGGGCTCTGAGCTGTCAGCACAGAGCCCAATATGGGACCCAAACTCATGAAGCATGAGATCATGACCTGAGCCAAAGTCAGAAGCTTAACCAAGTGAGCCGCCCAGACTTATAGCACACTCTAAGCCTTTTATGCTTTAGACCACACTCCAGCTTAGAGCTGTGACGTGCTTAGAGCACACTCCAGCCTCATTTTAAGTACATCAGAAATTAAGTAACCACACAATAGGTTTATTTGGGTTTAATTTGTCACGTAGGGAGTTACCCATTTCCAGGCAGTATATGAAACAATGTTTCCTCAAGGGTAGTTTTTAATATAAAGTGTTATTGTATGTTAATAGCATAGAATTGAAGTCGATAAGAACTTTCTAACTTGTGATTAG